ATTGTTTAATACTGTATGGTGTATACATGTGAGTGTATGAAAATGAAAATAAAATATACTAAACTCAAAAAAAAAAAAAAGAGAAGGAAGGACTTCCTGGAGAAGAGCCTCATGCTAGGAAAGATGGAGGGCCAAAGAAGAAGGGGACGGTAGAGAATGAGGTGGCTGGATGGAGTCACTGAAGCAGTTGGCATGAGCTTAAACGGACTCCAGAGGATTGTAGAGGAGAGGAAGGCCTGGAGGAACGTTGTCCATGGGGTCATGGTGGGTCGGACACAACTTTGCAAGTAACAACCAGAAACCTCCAAATATCAAAAACACAGCTGCTTTAATCTGGCTCCAGACACTGTCCAAATAAATAGGTGCCCTCGGTCGATCGATCCTGATGAGGAAAGTACGCATGGGGGTAAACATTCAACCTGCAACCAGGCTTTTCGCAAGCTGCTGATCCCAACCCCAGGCCAGGGACATCATGGCCGGCTTGGGGGCCAAAATCCACCTTACAACCATGGACTGAGATTCCACGTTTCAGCACTCACATGTCAAAGAATAAAAGCATGGAGGAAAAAAAAACATCGGCCCAAAGGATTCAAACGTCCGGTCTGCCCAGATCGTCCTATCTGGAAACACAAATTGCCGAGAAAATCCAGAGCTCCAGAATTAAAAATAAACCCAGCAGCATTAAGTGTTTTATTTAGTGAGACCTGCCTATCAAGGCAACCTGGTCTACCCATGGATGGGACGGAGCACACTGCTTCCACTTTCGCCTTTCAGCCCCACAATCCAGGAGCCTTTGCAGGCAGTTGCTTTTGCAACAAACTATTTTTGTGTCGAAATGATTTGTACCCACAAAGAAATAAGGGGAGATTAGTATAGAGCTGTTTCAAGCAATTTAGCTCTCATCAGCTAGCCTTTCTGGGATTCGAACCCAGGTTGCTTACATATTAGGTAGATGTGTTAACCTCTAAGCCACTGGTTCTCCTTGCTTTGTCAGCTATACCAGGGGAGACATTAAATGTTTTTTTCCGGTGAGACCTGTCTATCAGGGCAACCTGGTCTACCCACATATTGGACAGAGCATACTGCTTCCGGCTTTTGCCTTTCAGTCACAATCTAGGAGCTTTTGCAGGCAGCCGCTTCTGCAACAAACTATTTTTGTGTTAAATTTTTATTTAATGTTTTATTTCTTTGTCAGTAAATTTAAATTTAATAGGTAAAGGTTCCCCTTGCACTTATGTGCTAGTTGTTCCCAACTCTAGGGGACGGTGCTCATCTCCGTTTTAAAGCCGAAGAGCCAGTGCTGTCTGGAGATGTTCTCTGTGGTCATGTGGCTGGCATGACTCAACACCGAAGGCGCATGGAACGCTGTTCCCTTCCCACCAAAGGTGGTTCCTATTTTTTCTACTTGCATTTTTTACGTGCTTTCGAACTGCTAGGTTGGCAGAAGCTGGGACAAGTAACGGGAGCTCACTCCGTTACGCAGCGCTAGGGATTCGAACTGCCGACCTTTCTGATTGACAAGCTCAGCGTCTTAGCCTCTGAGCCACCATGCCCCTTAAATTTAATACCAGCAGCATTAAAAGCCCAGCACTAGTCCATGGGCCGAATTAATATGGCAGAGGGATTCAGGGATCGAAGCTGAAGTATTTGTGGTTCAGTTTATCCATCTTTTCACTAAATGGCCTTAAGCATCTCACTCAGCATCCATTCATCAGTTAGGAGAATCACAATGGTAGTCTACCTTATTGGGCTGCCGTGAAGAAAAGCATCCCTTAGAAAAATCAGTATAAAATAATGGTAGTACGCAGATAGTCCTTGACTTACGACCACAATTATATTTCTGTGGCTAAGTGAGACAATTGTTAAGTGAGTCTTGTGCCTGAGTTTTGATCATGTGACCATGGGGATGCGGCAATGGTTGTTGGCGTGAAAAAGAGTCCCAAGTCATTTTTTTTTCAATGCCGTTGCAACTTCGAATGGCCACTAGAAGAACTGCTCTAAGTCGAGGACTCCCTGTGGAGGCCGGATCCAAAGCTGATTGACTGATCGTCCAGTCCAAGGGCTCACACAGGGCTTCATCCATTTTCACCAACTGGAAGCAAATATGATGGGGACCCTCCAGTGAGGATATCTGGGCGTCCTGGGGCCTTAGACCTGTGCTGGCCACAGAGAGCCTTCTCTGTGGGCACGTGCGCCATCACCAGCTGGTCTTCACAGGTGTTGGAGTGCCAGAAAATGGCCTGAGGACAGCCCGAAAAATGGCCAAAAAACAGGCCGGTTTGGGGCTTTTTCAGGCTGTTTTTGAGCCATTTTCAGGCCGTTTTCCAGGCTATTTTTTGCCCCCAAACGCCCAGAAAATGCCCCCAAAACAGGCCATTTTGGGGGGGCTGTTTTTGAGCCATTTTCCGACTGTTTTAAAGCCATTTTGCAGGCTGTTTTTAGGCCATTTTTTGACTCAAAACACCCAGAAAATGGCAAAAAACAAGCTGTTTGTGGGGGGCTGTTTTCAGTCCATTGGGAAGGGGCTGTTTTTGAGCTATTTCCAGGCTGTTTTCAGGCCATGTTTTGCCCCAAAACTGGCCAAAAAACAAGCCATTTTGGAGCTTTACCAGGCCATTTTTGGGGGGCTGGTTTCAGGCTGTTTTTGAGCCATTTTCCGGCCGTTTTTCAGGTGTTTTCAGGCCATTTTGGGGGCATTTTCAGGCCATTTTCCAGGCCGTTTTTTGACCCAAAACACCCAGAAAATGGCAAAAACCCAGGCCGTTTTGGGGTTTGTTCTGGCCGTTTTGGGGGGCTGTTTTCAGGCTGTTTTTGAGCCATTTTCAGGCCATTTTTCAGGCTGTTTTCAGGCCATGTTTTGCCCCAAAACGCCAGAAAATGCCCAAAAAACAGGCATGCGCATGCCAGCCAGCTGGTCTTTAGGTTTCCGGCACTTTGGAGCACGCAAACGGACATGTGTTCCGGTTTGGGCACTCAGTGCTGAAAAGGTTTGCCATCGCTGCCTTAGCCCCGAGACTACGAGAGTGAGGCTGCTTTCCCCGTCTGTTTTTAAAACAACGAAGTAAGCCTTTTTTTTATTTCCATGAAGCAGTTTTAGTATCACAATGGAATGACAAGGAAAATAAAAACAAAACCCACAGTTTTAAAAAATAATCATAAAAGAAACAGAAGTCAGTCTGTTGGTCTCTCTCTCTCTCTCTCTCTCGCTTCCTCTTTGAATCGCCAAGGGAAGGGAGGGTTCAAGGCATTGTAAAAACAGGACTGAGGGCAGGAGGGTATCGGTCCTCTCAGCGACGGGGGGAAGGGAGGGCAGCAGGTGGAATGGCATGAAGGTGGGAAGACCCCCTCAAGTAGACTTGGTGGTGTTTCCGCCTCGTGATGGCTGCACAAGACGAGTCACCGAAAACCTGTAGACTTAAATCAATGCCACGGTATTAAGACACAAAACACCCAGCCGGGGTGTGGGGAGGGGAGGGAGAATGGCCGGTCTCCGGGTTTCCGAGTCCCCCCGCGGGAGGAAAGAGCTGCTGACTCAGCCGTGAGGTCGAGATGGGAGGAAGATACGGAGGAAGGGGCCCGGCCTTTGCTCTCCGGGCCCTGAGCCGCACGGGGGTTGAGGCGCTCTGCATCCCCGAAGGGCTCGCCGAGATCGGAGGAACAGAGGCAGTGGCTACACCAGGTCCACTCCTTAAACGGGAGAGGGACACGTCAAGTCCGTCGTCGTCGCGGGCTATAACTTCACGGTCCCCGGGGGCAAACTATCATTGCAGAGTCTGTAGTAGCGTAGGTCGTTGACCAGCCTGTGCACATTCTGGGTGAACGACGGCAGATCCTGGGGAGGGGGAAGAAAACGGCAGAAGGGTTAGAGTCAGAGGAGGGTCCTTGCTGGTTAAGCTCTGGTCAGGCTCAAAAAGGCTGCTTAGAATAGGAGCATTTCCCTGGTGCTCCGAGCTTGGTGGTTTTGTTGCCGACATTTCATTACCCAACTAGGTAACATCATCGGTGCTAGAAGGGAGTGGGGTTAGCACGGATGTCACCTAGCTGGGTAATAAAACATGTCTGCAAGAAAACCACCAAGCTCAGAGTCTATGGAGATTCTGTCATCCAGGCCATGGTTGTTCCAAAGGTGCTTTTTCAAAAGGCAACTGGACTTTCTGGTTTTTCTTGGAGCTGAAGAAGCTTCTTGGATGAGAAGCGAAACATCTTCAGAGAAAAAACAAGAAAGTCCACTTGCCTCTTGAAAAAAGCACCTTTGGGACTATTCTATTCTATTCTATTCTATTCTATTCTATTCTAATCCATTCCATTATATTCCATATTTATTCTATTCTATTCCATATTTATTCTATTCTAATCCATTCCATTTTTATTCTCTTCTCTTCTCTTCTATTCTAATCCATTCCATTCTATTCCATATTTATTCTATTCTATTCCATATTTATTCTATTCTATTCCATATTTATTCTATTCTATTCTATATTTATTCTATTCTATTCCATATCTATTC